GTGCTGTGAGTGTCAGGAGTGAAGTGTGTGTGAGGGTGCTGTGAGTGTCAGGAGTGAAGTGTGTGTGTGTGTGCTGTGAGTGTCAGGGTGCAGTGTGTGTGTGTGAGTGAGGGTGCTGTGAGTGTCAGGGGTGCAGTGTGTGTGAGTGAGGGTGCTGTGAGTGTAAGGGGTGCAGTGTGTGTGAGTGTGCTGTGAGTGTCAGGGGGTGCAGTGTGTGTGTGTGAGGGTGCTGTGAGGGTCAGACATGCAGTGTGTGTGCTGTGAGGGTCAGACGTGCAGTGTGTGTGTGTGTGTGTGCTGTGAGTGTCAGGGGTGCAGTGTGTGTGTGTGTGAGTGTCAGGGGTGCAGTGTGTGTGTGTGTGTGTGTGAGTGTCATTGGTGCAGTGTGTGTGTGTGTGAGTGTCATTGGTGCAGTGTGTGTGTGTGAATGAGGGTGCTGTGAGTGTTAGGGGTGTCTGTGAGGCTGATGTTAGTTAGGTGATTATTTCCCCCCTCCCTGCTTACCTTTAGCCTTTAGCTAAAGCCTTTAGCTGCTGGGGCTGCCATCCATCCCTGGTGGTCTTAGTGGTGAGTGAACTCTAGCCTCTAAGGCTAGAATTCACTCTCGCGAGACCCGGAGCGTTGCCATGGCAACGCTCCGAATCTCGCGAGAGGAACCCGGCGGAGCTGTTAGTTAAAGCTCCGCTGGGTTCCTCTCCTGGCAGGCTGGCTCCCTCCCTCTCTCCCCCGGCGGCCGCACTATCCTGCATGTGGGCCGGTGAGGGAGATCTCTGATGGACTACTGCAGGGCCGGCGTTCAGATAGCGCCGGCCCTGCAAAGACCGTCAGGAGAGATCCTGTGATCTCCCTGCCGGCCTCGGCCCCACGGCCACCGCGGCCCACCGGGCATTTGCCCGGTGTGCCCGATGGCCAGTCCGAGCCTGACTAAAGGTTAAGCTAGTGAGTTTCTTATTGTCACCTTGATTAGATAAGTTTGGCACATAAGTGAAACAATTTCCATGTGCTTACATGTATATTTTAGATTTGAGCAGAAGTTAAAGGGTGAGACAATATCACAAATATTTATAAGAAAATTGAGACCTGCTTAGCTTGCATTCTGTTGCAGTAAAAATAACTACCTTATAGATATAACCGATAACACCAACCTCAGGGAGCACAGAAACATTTAAATCAAAATATGCCGTGTCTTCCATTCCTTATTTTTTTAATATTTCTCCTTATTTTAGGAGTGTCCAATTTGCTGTACGACGCCTCCTTAGAAGGACCTAACTCAAACTTCACAGAAGCCACTCTCACTTGCCTTATGAATGGCGATACCGTTCCCACACTGAGTGCAATTCAGACTACAAGTAACCGCAATATAACATTTAACAGGTAACATTTAGTATTCTAACAAAATCTCCAAACTGCTAGCAGAATCTTCAGTTCAGTTTTAGTCTAAAATTTGAAATTCCCTTTGAATACCTGACAATACACAATATGTGTTTATAAGTTCAGAACGTTAGCTGAACACGATGTTTCAGTAATAGCATCATAAACATAAGTTTATGTTTTTTTACTGCATTCATTTACATTTTCTGCATTGTTACACAGTATTTATTGAAATTCTACACAGTATATAAACAAAAACGGGGCAAGCCGTGATTGTTTAGCTTAGTTGAAGAAGAAGAAGTCCAAGTTTGGAAAGAAATGTGTTGGATCAATTTTGCTTTATTGATTTTACTTTGTACCAATAACATTTATTTGTATCCTGGTTCTGGTCATCCTTTGGAGTTCCTTACAAATAAGAGGGGGTGTATTTTTTGTTCCACTAATCGCTGGGTTCAATTTGACCGCCCTGAAATACCAAGGGAGGCATCCCAAGACACTAATAATCATCTATATTGGTTGATCTACATGCTCACTTGTTTTCACATTGGTGTCTTTTATACCCACCACAAAGTCATTGTTGTAAGGCTACCTCTGTATTGTGTTGGTGGTGGGACACATTAATAAACCTTTTCATTATGGGTGGTCCACGGGATGGTGGGTTTGGCAGAGCCAAAAATAGTTGGGTAGTGTCACGATTCATGACTAGCAATTCTTAGGAAGAAAAAAAGTGCATTATCAGGTGCACCCTGTACATAATAACTTTTCTGTCTGTACCGTGACATACTCCGTGCACAGTTTTCATTGTTTAATCCCTGTCTGTCACTTATCAAACTGGTCCAATTTTTCCTTGCAGATATGCTTGGTACAATTGGGGAGTTGGGTTAATTGCTATCAATGGTACATTTCAAAACATGCCATGTTATTATGGGAGCCAAGCTGGAGCATTCTGCTACAACCCAAACTGTAAGTATCTTCAGATTTACATGGTCGTTACTATTTGCAAAGTGCCGTCATATTGCACAGATCAGTACAATGGGTGGACAAGACATACAAAAAAATTCAAGGAAGCACGTTTAATTTAAATAAACAAGATTTACTGAGGGCTCTGTTCAAATGAGCATCCAATCCCTTAAAAATAATTAAATTATCTTGTGTTTTGTAGCCAGTAATTGTATTTAACTTGCAAGAACTTTTTCTTTTTTTCTAAATCAACTTTTTATTACTTTCTGTAATGTTACAGTTGAATTGATTTATGTACATGTATTTTTTAGTTCTCACACCAGGTTATTCATTTAAAGGGACACTATAGTCAACAGAACCACTACATCTTAATGTATGGGTTCTAATGTATGTATATATCCTGTCGTGTCAAGCAGTGTTTACATTGTTGCCTAGTAACAACTCTAGGACCTGTCACTCAGATGGCCACTAGAGGTGCTTCCTATCTCACAGTGCAGACTTCCCAGTCATTATAACACACACACACAAACACATACACCCTGTCACCACTACATTACTTCTTAGTCACTTACATACACACACACACAAACACACACATCACTCCTGAGTCCCATTCACTTTGTATCACATCCCCACTTCACTTCCAAATCACTTGCACCTAGGACTGTACACATCCCATTTACCTCCCATCTTTTATGCACGCCCCCAACATGACACATTCACACAAACCTTCTGCTTTCACCCATTCACACATTGACATCCAGCCACCCACCCAGCTCCAAACTCTGAATCGGTCATATTCTTCTGCCCTCCCAGTGCCATAGCCTCACTCCCCTCATATCCCAGTCACACCCACTCAAGCAATCAGATTCACGTACTTGTAAGATGTCACTTACAACCACATACCCACCCTGCCACATACTGCCATACAGCCACACATCTCGACATGCTCACCATCCAATCACAACCAAAACTAGTCACATTCACTTATCCAACCACACAAACCAAACCACATCAGTGTATGTGTGAAGGGCTGAGGCTCATTGACGTAAGTGCCTTGGGGAAGCATGGAGGCAAAGTCCGCTAAGCCCTGCTATAAACCAGGTGATAACAATGCAAAAACACATACACACCGATCGCTTAACTTTGCAATCATTTTCGTATCATGAATAGATTATATTTTTTTGTTTACATGTACAATATTGTGCAGGATTTTTTCCTCTGAATGAAATAGTTTAATATATAATGCAATCAGGTGATATATTATTAAATTAAATTATTTCAATGAAAGTAACTCTGTGTTTTCATTCCTGTTTCCTGCAGTGCCAGACACCATTCAATCAACAAATGACACAAGTAAGTTCTCAATTTGCGCTTTCCAATATTTAAGGATGGCCTTGAATAAGACTTAAAGAGACGCTCAGGCCCCTAAAGCACTTTAGCTTCCTGAAATTCTTTATGTGTGAAGGGTGAATGCTCTCTTTTCATTTTATAAAAAGTGCAGATTTCAATTGAAATTGTCACTTTTATAAATTAACTTTGATACAACCCCTGCCTGTCATCAGACAGCTGGACCTGTTACTTCCTGGTTTGGTTAGCTGAGCTCGGTGGACCTAACCTCAAGAGGCAGGAAATTGCTCAGAGCACCAGCCTTCTAAAGACTTCTAATTGAGCTTCATTGGGAAGTCTGTGATTGGACAGCCACAGAAAGTCTGGACAGGTAAGAAGGGGAGGTCTTGCAAAGACTGAAGACAAGAGATCTGTAGTTTTTGCAAGCTGTTTTTAGATATATCCCCAATGAAACAATGCATACTTAAATGCATGCATGTTTTTATTGGGGATATATCTACTAAAGAGCAATATATATGATCCATGATGTCCTCCTCCGAGGTTCTAACTCAATCAGGGACTGCTTGGATTTCTGTTTTAACAACTGCTACATCTTTAGCAAATAACTTCTGAATGTCTTCGAATAGGTTTTGAATGTCCTGTCTAATAGCCAGGGCAGAACCTTTGAGGACCAGAGGGTTCTGGTCTGTTGGCGCTGGGGTTGTGTTACATGCCTCTCAGCCTTCAAAGTCGGCTATCTTGATGTGCACCTGTCTTTGCAATAGAATGCCGATGTCTCTTTTTACAACGGGAGCCGCCACATTAGGCTTCTGGGATCTGTGTCCCATCTGTGCAGAGTCCAGTGTGTGCCCTGGAGCTGTCGCTGTCCTAGTGAGGTCTCTGTTATAACTGGAGTCTGCTGTAAGGCTTCCAATGCCAGTGAGGGGTGGGGAGAAGTAGCCCCCTGCTTTGCAGTGCTGCTATTTTGCTGTTGGACCTTAAAAGAAGGGCATCTATTGACAAGGTAGTAGGTGTATCTCTGTCTTATACTACTGGATCAGCTGGATATTTGCTTGCTCATGGACATAGCTGAATTGATAGCTGCTAAATCTATCAATCTCAACAGTGTATCAGTCTTAGAGGGATGGAAAGATGAGTTGACTTTACCAGGAACAAAACATACAGAGCTGAAGTTTAAGCAGATTTCACAGTTGGTGCATGACATGTGCACGGTCGCCTTGTCTGCATATGTATAAACCCCACCAATACCCATTTCCAATAAAACACTGACACCATGGATTTTTGGAAAAATTTATATCACAGCTTTATTGATTATTAACATAAAATATAAAGGTTATTGTCAACAGCAGGCCAATTACCATCCTGCATTTTACAAATTAAACCCCCTGACAATGACCCACTCCCACATAACATAATACCCAAACAAACATTGTAACATTTAACTTAACATTGAAACATGACCATTGCCACCAGAGGGCACCATCCATTGCCACCAAAGGGCACCACATGTGTAGGGGCATACCGAGACACCCCTACACACCCCAGTTCGGCGCTACCTACGAGCTTGAACCTACCAAACCAGTCCAAAGGCCTACCTATTAGCCCTGAACTCGAAACTGTTTCCCCATCTCACTCTTTTCTCCCCCCAACTTTACTCTCCATCCCCCGCCGCCGTGACCAAACGGGAAACACCTGAAAGCAAAGGGAGGGTGGGTGGGACAACAACAGGTAAGTGCAACTTAGATTAAAGTGATCCCTAGATCTAAAATGGCCACTACTTTTACTCCCCTTATAACTCCACCCCACTCCATTTCCTTAAACCAATCCCTAACCACTGACCCTTAGATGCCTGTCTCCTGGCAATGTCAAGGCCCACTCCCCTTAGCTACGCTGCTCCATGGGCTACATAATGAATATATTGTAAAGTTGTACATCCTAACACTAAACATTTTGCCAAGAAAATATGCTGTCATTTCAGATTTATCTTTAAAACAATTTTCATTGCCTATTTACCATCTCTGCAGCCTTGAAGAGAATTGTCATGGGATGCGTTCTTGGATCCATATTTCTTATCTTGCTATTTGCTGGCGTATTCATGAAAGGGTAAGAGACGATAAAAACCGTATAGAGCACGAGCCAAATGATTTAGGCATTTTAAATTCACACATCAGAAACTAATTACCAAAGCAGATAGTTCTAGAGCGAGATTGACAAGCTCCATACTGTCCTACAAACTTGGATTAAAAAATAATAGAACCCACAAATGCTGTCTTCAGCAAGTGTGAGGGAATGCGAATATATTGAACAATAGACATTTTGTGGCCAATGCTGGCTTTTGTAGGCTGTTACTAAACAGAAACCTAATGCTAATTTTTGTATTTTCTTTTAAGGAATCGGTTTATTTGTTGCGTAAAAGAAAAACCCATGGTCCATACAGATGTCCCACCAGAAATTACAGTCCCATCACCCACATGGAACAAAACTAGTTCCTATACACCACTTCGAAAAGACTCAAGGTACATCAATTTAACTGGGTTTGCCATCGACAAGCGCCCACCGATCATCCGTCCAGATATAGTCTACCAAGTCCATATGTATGATAATACTGGATATGACAGAACTGGGGATGAATAACGAGAGAATGGAAAATGGTTGGAGTGTGCTACAATACCCAAAAAAAGAGAATAGGTTTCATTTGTGCAGAAATCTAAATGGGCATCTACTTTGGAGTAGGCAAGTGCTATGATAATTTACCCAGCCTCGTCCAAACAGGCAACGGGTATTATCGATGACCTGCTACCTCATGAAAAGGAGGAAGTTTTGTGTAAATTCCATGGAAATGTTCAATTAATTATCTCAAAGGATTTTTTTTATTTTTTTTTGTGTATGTGAAGTTTGGGGTGATATTGGATTCTGGAAAAATCCTCAATAACATCATGAGATTTTAGAAGAGTTATGAAAATACAGAACACATGTTCTGAGAAGACTCATTTTGAGACATATGACAACAACTCCACTCTCAGAAATATGTAAAGTCAATGGGTTTGTGCAACGTTGCCATGATTCTAAGAATATAATAACCATGTGCTTTTAAAGTGCATCTATAGTGATAAACAGGATTCAGTGCCACTTTACAAACAATTTCTGTCTATACATGGAGCCATCCCAGAGAGCTACAAAATAGAAAGATGAAAAGTTAATTCGAATTTCAATTTTTTTCCTTTATATCCGTGGGAATTATCGCAATGCTCATGAAGATGCCACGTCCCCAAATATGCAGCAGCATTCCACAACTCGGTGTGCACCCTCACACAAAAATCTGTGGTATGTTACTCTCATCAAGAAGGGGCAAAAATCTACATAAGGTTCACTCCGTTCTAACGTAATGATTTTGAAAGCAGAAAATATAGATTTAAAAATAAACCTACGTGACAAAGAGGTTCTCTCAACATGACCAGTTGAGCAGCTTAATTAAATGACAATATTTTAATATTTTAACACATCATTTGTTTTGTTATGTCTTGCAAATTTTTTTTAACAGTTTTAGATTAAATTAAAATGCTTTTATAGGAGCGTGTTTATGTTTATGTGTTTATATGAGCTAATAGTATATTTACCATTAAGAACTAAGAATTTTTAGTTTGTGATAATTTAACAGATCCCACCCAAAAATTTTACGAGCGTCTTACCTTCATTGATGAGGATGAATTTCTGACAGAAATATTGTCCGCCTACTGGCGTACTATGGAAACAAGCACTTTTACTTTTCACGTATTCCATTTTTTGGTAACCGCCAATGGCCGCACCATTTAGCACAGTAAGGCAGGAGTCAGGCAGCAGGCAGAAATTGTCCGTCACTGTGTTTGATTGTTCTTGGGCTGATGGCCCATGTTTTTAATGTTGTGACCATGGACCTGTGTGTTTAACGTGGAAAAAAGGCTGTTTGTTTTACTTGCCCTATGGTTCGAACATTGTCAGTGTACTTTATTCCTCCACTAGCACTTGGAAGATGTACACTGTTAGACCTCCTCCCATCCTCTTGTCCTGAACCACTCCACTTGTGACTCACTCTTCTTCCTATAGTCGGTGTACAGTACACTTTTATTTTAGGCTTCACTGATGACATCATGCCACTGTTAATTCAATAAATTTGTAATGATTTTGATTTGTAATGATTTTGATTTGGCGAATATGGGGCCGGATTGGATTTTAATGTCGATGTAAGGATTCTGCCATCTGCAAGGAAACCACCACTGGAGATCATAAGGAAATAAATCATTTGCTGCTGATGGTAGGTGTCTATATTCATTATTTATTTATGACTGCTTCTCCTGCCAGGGGCCTTCCTGGCACATTTAAAAAACCAGGTAAGTGCCAGAAGGCCACTGGAAGAGGAAATTATACGTAAGTAAAAAATGTAACCCCTTAAGGACGGAGCCAAATGTACAAGTTGTGATCCCAAAAAAATGTAAACAAACCACAGGTAGAAGAGATGTGGAACACAACTGCAGATTAGAATTTTCCTTATTTATTTAACCAGAGTACTATTAGCGATAGGAAAAAGTCCTTTAACCCCTTAAGGACACATGACATGTGTGACATGTCATGATTCCTTTTATTCCAGAAGTTTGGTCCTTAAGGGGTTAAGTAAGCACAATTAACTGTAGCTTTGAGGATTCGTGGATAGGTTGAAAGCAAAAGCAACTGTAGCAGAGATAGTGGCAACCAAGTTGAAGCAGGATAATGTTAGCAAGAAGGTGAAAGTTCATCAATTATGCAATTTCCAGAATTATGATAAAGTGTATACTTAGTTTTTTATGTGAGTAGTCCTCCAAAGGCAGGGGGCCAGGCATGTCCCCCAACCACGATCTGCAGAGTGAAAATGCTGCGGCTCCATGTGTCTGCCGATTTCAAATCGGCTGACACATGTTAAATACCGATCGCAGTGACAGCCTGTCACTGCGATCAGAGGCTGCAGACTGCGGTCACTGAGCACAGGGAGGCTCCCCGGAGGGCCAGGCATTCCCCCCGACCGCGATCTGCAGCGGGGTAATGGCGCCGGCCATGTGGGCGGCAAGGACGCCCAGGACATTCTATGCCGTCCTGCAGTGTTTAGAGCCACCCCCTTAAGGACGGCATAGAACGTCCTGCGTCCTTAAGGGGTTAAAGCATTAGTCTTCAGTTGGTTTGATTCCATGTTTACGTAACTAATGCATGTGTGCCAGGAAGCCATTGGCACTGAACAGTGTGTCAGAACCAGGTGACTCCAGGCACCATCACCACTTCAAATATAAAAATGTTTGAATTACACATTTATTTATCATCAGAAAAACCCAACATAATACTACATTGAATCCCTTTTTGTTTATATTAAAAAATACATCCTTATTAAGTCTCCATATACATTATGCAGAATGCGCTAAAAAAATAAATATTTAAAAGTATATCTGAACCAGAGGTTATAGCATTTTAAAATTTTGAAGGACAAGTGACACCTCAAAAAGTTAAAAAAAAAAAAAAAATATCCTTTTTATCAAGTATTGAAAGGAAATAGATTTTTTCTTTAAATGTAATAAAATTAGAATAACTCATCCCTAATTTTAGTATATGACAGGGTCCTTCAGCCATATACATACACCTTGGGTCAGACAGTGTCTTTACGGTCTTTCCTGCTTTTGTGTAGGGAGTGAAGTAGGGAAGACCATAGAGACGAACTGTCGGTTTTCAAACACTGTCTGACCCAAGGTGCATGTATATGGCTGAAGGATTCTTTTAAAACTTAATGAGAGGATTATTATATTTAAAAATAGGTAACAGTTGTCCTTTAAGTGTAGGCGGTCATATAAGGAGATGAGATTGATGACATCAGTTGTGCTGAGGATGTCTGTTGGAAGTTGAAACGTGTCCATGATTGTCCAAGATTGTGCATCATCATGTATGTGTGGTTCGAGGAAGAGAGAATGGTGGGCATTATGGTGACGTCTACCAAAAATACTGAGCAAGACACTAAAAGACGTTTCTTACTTCTCTTCTAAACTTTTTTTCCCCTTTATCTATGTAAAATGAATTGGAAACAAGAAACTGCAGTTTGTGTCATACATCTTGAAAACATTTTTACACAGAATCAGACAATGGCATCAGGGGCCTGATGGCATGATAGCCTCTACCGAGAGCTGCATTGGGTACGGTGCTTAGAGTGTCCCTTTAAGCTCTGTCATAGGAAAGTATGGCCCCAATGTCTCTTACCCATACTATATTAAATGTATATTTTATTTCATTCCTTGGCTGCAGTTAATGTCTCTCTTGCATCGTTGCGATAATAAAAACCAAAGGAAAAAAGTTACCTGCGCACTATCCCAAATCCGAATGCACATTTAAATAAGTGGAGGATTTTGTATCACTCCAATGGCCATTCAAGTGTAAGCTCACCTGCCCAGTCAAGGAAAAAACAACAACACCTAGCTGCTTTTATCTAAAATGTGAAACCTCCAATGAGAGCCCTAAACCCCTGCTGTCACCCAGTAGTAATCAGAGTTTAAATTCTGGGCTTAATTTTGTATGTTTGTATTTTGCTTCATGTAACCGTGCTGCCACCCACCCCATGGTTAACCTATCTGTCTCATTAGAGATTTTATCTTTTAGATAAAAGCAGCAAGGTGAATTGTTAGTGTAGGACTTAACTAAGAGATTTTGCCTTGACTGGGCAGATGAGCTTACACTTTAATGGTCATTGGAGTGATACTAAAGTTATTTAAATGTGCATAGGGATTTGGGATAGTGCGCAGGTAACTTTTATCTTTTGGTTTTAATGTATGTATTGGATCTGATGTGTAGTGTAGTCATTGCTGCTGGCCGGGAGTAATGGGAGCTTGAGCGCAGGGCTTAATGTTGCATCGTTAATGGTCTCATCCTTAGATAAGACTTTTTTTGGAGGAGTTCCATTTGATCTTCAGAATCTCACTATTCCCATTTTGCATTATCGTCTGTTGCAGACATTAGAATATTCTATCAGCAAAGATAAGTGCCCTTCGTTTTATTGCCTGAAAGCTATTATTGATTCACTATAAACATCTCTCTTATTTTGCATTCTCACTCCTTCACATTGGTTTTAAATTGCACCCGAAAGTGCTGACAGATCACCTCTGCTTTGCTAGCTTAAAACTTGGAAGGAAATCTTACTTCTCTCTGATGTGAGATAACATCAGCAAAAATGTGATAACTGCCTCAGGGACATTTGTAATGCTGGGGCTGTATTCACTAAACTTGTGGCAAATTAAAAAATAAATTGATACAATCTTTATTGAATACTCATACTGACTGTGTTGAAATTTCACTAAAATCCCAACCAAGTCAAAAGGCTACCTTGTTTCAGAATTGCATACAGATAGAATCTTTTTGAGGGACTCATTTTGACTGTTTGAATTTTACTGAAATTCCCACCAAGTCAAGATAAACCTACACAAGGTAGGGACTACTTTGCCTCAGTATTTTTCATACGCCTGACACTTCCAGATACTGAGTGGAGTGGAGTGAAATGTCAATCCCCCAGCCATCGCCATAGACTTCAATGCTGTACATTTGCACATGCACGAGAGTACAGCAGTGATGTCAGCTCTTGGCACTGAAACGCCAGGAGCAGAAGAGAAACGTCTCAAAAAGAAGACGGCAGCGCCCGCGAGGTTAACGTTAAACTACAAAATGGAGAAATAAAGTAAACAGAGTGCAGGTCAGGAGTCCGGAGACTGAACCAACTCTCCCTACTAAAGTTATAAATAAATAAACACCTAAAAATCAATAACCATAGTGGTAACAAAAATAAAAAAGTGCTACTAAGTGCAGAGATTAAAGAAAAAGAAAATGCTCGACGCGCGTTTCGGCGTGTTCAAAACGTCGTCGTCAGGAGCCCTTTTTTTCAAGTTATACTTTTTGTTTGCATATACCTTTTTATCCTTAGATTGATTAAAGGTAGGGCCTCCCTTCCTCATTTCTTATACAGTGGAGCTCTCCTGATGTTGGTTTCCACTTGTGGGACTCTACACATCACCTACTCCTATTACTTAAAGTTAAAATAACCTTTGCCTGACTCACCCCCGGCTACTGGACCCCCCCAGTTGTGATGTCACCACCAGGGGTTCCTTGCAAATTATGCAAAGTCCCCAAACGGTGACAGTGCAGCTTTAAAGAACTTTTCCTGGTATTCTCTTAAACCTATTTTTGGTCTTTCTTTGTTTTAAATCTGTTATTGTTAAACTTTCCTAGCCTTCTTTAATGCTCTATTGGCCATATCCTCAATTCCAGAGACAGATTAATGTAGGGGCTAATAGAGCTAGAGCTCTAGGCCAATGTAAGGCCATCACAGGAGCACATGGAGTATCGAAAGTTGCAAACACCTGGTATTTACTAATCTGTACTCTGATTATTGACTGAAGGCTGCCAAATGTGCCCTAGGTCAATCGTACATAGGAATAGTCTATCTTTCCTCCAGGCTCCATGCATACAGACCTTGTGTGTCCCTTTATCAACAGGATGGATTCCCTGTGCTCCAAGATCCATAGGAAGGGCTGTGATCCCTATCCAATTTCTTAATCAGCAAATTACTCTGTGACTGTCTGTTTGAAAAATGTTAAATGCTTGAAATTTCCATTTTGTTATGGGCAGGTTCACATGTGAAATGGAACTGGTTCCCACTGAGAAGTACTGAAGTAGTCTGTCGGGCCGGTCCCCAATCTGCAGAAGCTTGCAGAGGTTGCTGGGAAGGAGCTAGAGTACTACCTGTACTTGGATCTTGGGTTGTTACATTAATTGAATTTGTTAAACCTCACAAACATATATTTGTTAAATATAGGCATATGCTAAACATTTTTGCCCTGAATATGAATTTTAGAAGCAACTCTGATGGCAAATGTAATAGTCTCGCTGTGTTCTGAATATATTTTTGATACATTTTGGTTAGCATTTTATTTCTTCTAATGGTTTTCTTGGGGTGGAGGGTGATATGTACATTTTCCCAGAGCTTCCTCTACAGGGAATGCAGAATTATTAGGCAAGTTGTATTTTTGAGGATTAATTTTATTATTGAACAACAACCATGTTCTCAATGAACCCAAAAAACTGATTAATATCAAAGCTGAATATTTTTGGAAGTAGTTTTTAGTTTGTTTTTAGTTTTAGCTATGTTAGGGGGATATCTGTGTGTGCAGGTGACTATTACTGTGCATAATTATTAGGCAACTTAACAAAAAACAAATATATACCCATTTCAATTTATTATTACCAGTGAAACCAATAT